CCCCAAAACCCCAAAACCCCAAAACCCCTTGAGGCAATAATAAGTTATATTCTCAAATATGTTTAGTTAATATCAGTTATCAGTAGCTTGTATATTCTAAACCTTATATCTTGCTTTTATTAACTCTGTGAGCATTTTAGAATTTTCCTGGTCTATATATGATCTATCACGCTCATCTACAATTGGAGGGATTATTTTGGTTATGTCAAATTTAGGCATTGACCTGTCTGTTTATAATCCAGATTTAAAGTAAAAATCTTTAGCAGATTTTGGATTTTTATTAATTATACCTATAATAAATTGAGTTGATAACTGTTTAATGCTTACATTTTTGAGATTGCTACTTCACCAATGTGTATTTTGGATCCAGAGCCTAGGCATAGTCAAAAGCACTTGTTTTCCACAATTCTTTTCTATTGCTTCCTTTATTAAGATCAAGATCTACAACTAACTTTTTATACTTAGAGTAAATCTCAGGGAAGAATTTCTGCCTATCTATATATTTGCCAAAGTTATTATCTTTCTTTAGAAGATTAGGTTCTCTCTCTGGTCTCAACCCAAACTGCACATATCCAGTTTAGTTCATAGTAGACTTAGTCACATTCAACTAATTGTAATTTAAATAGTTAGCACATCTTGACTTATTAACCTTTGTGTTATTCAAAGATTGGCTTGAATCAGCCTGATCTTCTTTACTCTTATCCATCTCTTCAATAATTGATTGGCCGAATGTTTTATTATCAGCATCATTGTTGTTGTTGTAAAAGGTTGTATTTTGCTTGTCATTGTGACTCATAAAAGTCTTATTTATGTTTGATATATCATCTATTTTGGTATCAAGTTTTAACCCAAATAACTCTCTATTGCTATTTTTCTGATTAGGGTCTTAAAATCTCAAATGAGCAGCACTGTTTGACTTTATAAGTTTGTTATCAGGATTGTAATGTCCTAGAGGAGGAACTTTTATCTTAGGGGATAATATATGATCTCTGTATTCTCTTGAAACCTAATCCATAACTGCGCTTTTCTTAATAGGAGACTTTTTCTTCTTTAACTCTACAGTCGTTGACCGAGTAGTTAAGCTTGCTTGTTATTAGATCAAACTCTGATAAAATTCAGAAGCATTTACTTTCTTGGAGTAATTATCAAATCCACTAAATTTCTATTGAAAGACCTTTTGCTTGAACTCTTAGAATGGCTCTCTGTAGTTCATTGATTTTTCAGTAAATTTCTTTAGCTCTTTCTCTGTTATTACCTCAGGCTGGTCTTTCTTCATGTTCTTGGCTAGAAGCTTATTATTCATTTCTGTATCTTTCTTGATGATGTTAGGTAACTCTCTTTCCATAAAATCAGACAGCTCTCGCATGTTACGGGAGGACTTGGAGATTGGCTTTTATTTCAATATTTCGCTCATCATTTTCTAAAATGGCTTTTATTTTTAATTAAGATTTCCAATCGATTTTAGCGTATTATGAAGTTTGGGGTTTTGGGGTTTTGGGGTTTTGGGG